CGACGACGATGACTACTACTACTACGCTTGGCTTAGGTTGAGTTGCTCCATGGTCACTAAGGCATCACTGGCCTCATCGGCCCATCAGTCGCCTCAAGCCACAGTCGGATGAAGGCAATCTTCCGGACTTCCAAGGAGTCGGCGCGATTTTTGCTGGGCATCCTCTTGTGCCAGCTCGAAAGGTCCACTTTCAAAGCCTCTGCAACACGGCTGGTATAAACATAATTTAATAATAATATTATTGAAGGCAGCTGCTTCAACCTAGCCCGGCGGATGCATGTTGCGTCAAGACTGAGGAGTTGACGGACGAGGCCTTGGACAGATGGAGTCGGAGCATGGTGGTCTTCTATGAGATCATTGCCGCACTCCAAGCAGCCGTGTCGCTGCTGCCGTCCGAGTCGATGAAGGAGGTCGCAGGCCTTCTGGATGTCTTCAGCTTCTCGGATAGGAATGGCCGGTCTTAGTATTATTGGGGGCACGAATTGAATTCAAGTTCTTGGCCAACCGAGGACGTCCAGAAGGTTTCCGACGCGAATCCTTCGAGTCGCACGCTCTGGCGCACAAGGAGAAACCTCTCCGCGAGTTCCTAGTCGCCATCATGGAGCAGGAGCGCGACGATGACTTGAACGAGTTGAGCAGCAGCAAGAGGCCTGTAGTCGAGGTTTTGAAGGACAAGGAGTCGGAGCTGCAGTTGGGCGTGGACTTCCGCCACGTCCTGAACAGCCTGTCCAACGTCGTGGCCGATAAGTCGACTGCGGATGACAAGGACCAGGTCCGACTCAGCTCCCTTGTGACAGGCCGGCGCACGCTTCATGTTTCGGGTTGCCCGCAGTTTTTCCTGACGGACTGGTTCATTGAAATGACACTGATAAATTAAATCAGTCTGACAAGGCGGCAACCTCGAGTCGATGGAGCAATCCTTGGAGGAGATGCAGAAACTGCGCGGCAAAATCTTGGACAAGGTGACGGAGAAGTCGCGCAAGCACGTGAAGCTGCATTGCTTCAAGGACAACGCGTCGACAAAGGCTGCTATTCCACGCCTTCCAGATGGGAAGCTTGGCAGTCGGCACCGGCTCTTTGTAGTCAGCGCGGAGCTGCTTGATGAGCATGAGGCCACCCAGTCGACCCCTTGGGCAAGTGCTCCCAACAACAAGGACTTGAAGGATCTGCTAGGGAAGCAGTTGGATTTGGCCAAGGAGCTAGCCACAGAGGCCTTTGACTTCATTCTTGTGTCCGACGGAGCCAACAAGTCGCTGCGCGAACTCATCCAGCAGAAACTCTCCCCGGTCTCCGAGTTCTTGCTGATTTATGAGGACAACACGGCTCGCTTCCTGGACTACAGCACACGCGGCCAGTGGCAGTCGCTCTACCTACTTCTTCCAAAAGGAGCGAAGGAGTCGCAGGTGAACATGCAGCCGCGGGAGGACGCGGGATAATCATCACTAGCCCAACGCAGTAGGGAAGTCCTTGTCATTAATTTATGGTGACTTAAACTTAATCATAATCCAGCACTGCTATATAGGAGTCGTCCAAGATGCAGCACGTGTTCTCCTCGGTCGTCGCTAACGCGACGACGGAGATTGACAAAATGGGCGCCGAGTCCAAGAAGCAGGTCTGGGGGGGTAAGGGGCTAATTACCCCCGCCCGGTGGCCATTTGAGTCGGCACTGCCTTGGCATTGGTCGGACACCATGCCGACCAGCGTGTGGGAGACGTTTTGCACCATGCTCCGCATTGTCTCCGTGGTCGACCTGTCCGCTGGACCCACGTGTATGCGGTCCTTCTTCGGCTCCGGAGTCGCGTACTTTGGGCTCTGCCGCAATGAGTCGCTCCGTACCTGGTTGCAGGCAGTCGCCGACAAGGAGGCTCTGAAGCAACTTGCCTGGAATAGCTCATTTCTCATTTTGACTCAAACTTAAACAGACAGAACACCTTCGGCTAAGGCTTGTTCAGGATGAGTCGGCGCCCCACATGTATGACTCCACCCTCGCAGAGTCGGTCGTCGAGGCTTTTCCGGAATTGGACGACGAGGACCAGGAGAATCAGGGGAATGAGGGCCAAGAAGGCGACCAAGAAGAGACCGATGAGACAGTGTATGCGCCTTCCGTGGCGACCTGAAGTCGCACACTTCTTCATTGACATTGCGCGTGCCGTGGCGACCTCAAGTCACACACTTTTGATTCACAATGCCTCTGCCGTGGCGACCCAAAGTCGCCCAATTTTTGGTTGACATCATCATTTGGAGGCGTGAAGTCGGCGCAGTTTTGAATCTCGGATCATGCTGACTCGGGGCCTCGTCGTAGTCGTAGTATACTTTGAATTAGAACATCTCTCAGACACATCTTGGAAGAGCCGCTGAGCCATTAAATTCTGAGCAGCACAGCTTTTCAAATTTTGCTCCAGCCCAGAAGCCCATCGTCGGCTGCGGCAAGGCCTCGAGTCGCAACTTCAACGGACGTTGGATTCCCTGCGAGCGCTGTGGAAAAAATGATTTTCACAGGGAGTGCTAGTGCCTCTACTTCAGCTTGAGCCATGCTGCCATTGCATTGCCTTCGCATGTAATGTGCTTGATGATTCTGATACACATAAATGATCGCAGTCGGGACCGCCAGGACTGTGAGTCGGTCGGTAGAATTGCTCAATCGGTTCAGGATTTCAAGAGGAGTGCCAGTGTAACAGTGTTACTAATTTTGAGTCGGACTGACCGAGTCGTGTCGGAGCCGACTAAATTAGTGTCGAAGTCGTCATGGTTGCCAGTCGCAAAAAGCGAGCAGCTTCGACGGGCGCCGCCAAAGCGGTGCCGACTGGTGTCAAGGTCCAGAAGCTCACCAAAGTTGTGGCCGAACCGGCCATAACACCAGTCGAGGAGCTCTGGCCACCGCCGCCAGATGCAGGCGTGCAGTGGCTGCAACAGCTCTCACACTGGGCTGCTGCCTCAGAGCGAAGTTACACTCAGTCAGACTTGACCGCCACAGACAGTCCCAATTCCTGACTGCAGGTTCGGGTGAAGCTGAGTCGCCTGGGTTTTGACAACCCCAAGCCGCGGATCTTCGACATGAGCGGCGACAAGTCGGAGCAGGCAGTCGTGGAGCCGTGGGATCCGGAGCACGCCCAGGTGGCGCTCAAAAACCACGGCGAGTACCTTGCGGGGGGCCACTTGCTTTGGCTGTCCCTGGCCCGGCACCCTCACGACTCTGTAGTGGCTGATGAAGTCGGCTACCGCGACTTAGAAGACCTCGGGAAGATCATGCACTTGCAGCTAAGCGGCAGCTTCCACTGCCACTGTCACTGTCTCACATGAAATGCACCCCTCAAGCATCCAAGGCAGGACAAGTGCTGCTTCCCGGTCGCCATACAGGCGTACACGTGGGAGCTGCCAGTCGGCTATCCCGAGGTCTTGCACTTCCTGTCCGACATGAAGCCAGTCGCAGTGTGGTGGGTGTCCTGTCTGCAACAATCGGTTAAGGGGCGCATGCGACACCTGGGTTGCTTCGTCGATAGTGTTTGTTGCCAGCTGTGGCAATCCGATCGGAGCTCAGGTCGACATGTTCCAAGCCATTCGAAGTGACAAGTCGGAGTTGATCCAAAACCTCTGGGACATTGCAGGGTCGTGTAGCATTCACCTACATTGGGTGGCTTCTCTCCTTTAAAATAGCTGGGCTGCCTGTGACTGACTTGCTGGTAAGTCCGTCCGATACTTATAATTTAAATTTAAACTATGAAATTAAATTGCCAGCTAAGGACAAGGGCAACGCCAGTGAGTCGAGCAAGCATTTGCTAAAACAGAGTTTGCTGGCCAGTCGGGAGCGATCCCTCTACTTCGAGAATACGTTCGTGACATGGGCAAAGAAGTTGTGTGCGTACATAGATTCCCTATCACCTCATAGCAAGGGGCAGTCGCGCACGGAGCTTGTCAAGGCCCTGCAGAAGAACGACCCAGGGTTTGCCTATAACGGCCAGGTCGGGAACTACTATATGGTGCACGCGGCCGAAGTTGTTTCCGAAGTCGTTGTGAACGAGGCCTTGCTTGTGCTTCAAGACTTGGGTCGCAGATACGGAGTCGAGTTTCTGGCATGTCAATACAGCAAACTTTGGTATATGGCATCTGCCGCGAAGAGATGGGCTACAGACACCTTCACTCCAGTTGACGTGATGGCTTTTGTGTTACTGCTCATGGGAGACGATCTGGTCAGCGAACGCTTGAAGGGCACAAAGTCGGTGACCAAGTCGGCCGTGAAGGTGCAAGCATGCAGCACCTGTGAGGACTCGGGTCTCGAAATGCAAGATGTTTTTTGGTTTGCATTTTTTATTTGCTGTGTCAGACTTAGGATACTGACATGGGGAAGGGATCCAACTGAAAAAAACAGGGCCAGTCGTCGCCGTGCACGAAGTGTCCGATCAATTGGCTGCGGGTGGCATTGGAAAAGGCCCGACTCTGGCACTTCTGCGTGAAGGAGTTGCACGGGAAAGAGGTCTCGCCACAATTGCTGCAGCAGTTCGTCAACATCGGCTCACATGGCAAGCACCACCTAGACAGCGAGTCGAAGATGAAGCTTGCGGCCTGGGTGGAAATAGCGGAGTCGAGCGCGATGGAGAAAGCACTCCGCCAGGGCCAGTCGCTGGAGCTCCGTGCCAAAGTCGTGAGTCGATTGCAGGAAGCCATGGGCTTCGATTTGGCAGCGAGTCGCCTGAAATCCCGGACGGTGCTCCCGCAGTCGCTACAGGAGCAGCGTGACGCTCTGGTGGCGAGGGCGAAGTCGTTCGTCGACGAGCATTTGCACTTTGAGGTGTACGGGAAGGCGGAGTCGCTTCAAGATGCCATCGACCGGGTGCCCCTGGACTGGAGGAAGCCAGGCGAGTTGAACAAGTCGCATCGCTTGTTCGTGGTGTCGGCGACCCTCCTGTTCGAGGGTGAGAAGAAGCCGTGGACCGTGGCCAGCAGGTCGGAGTGGTCGAAGTC